AGGTTACTGTGGGTTCCCCGGGGGAGGCCGTGGGGGTCACACCCGGCAGCCGTGGGGGCAGGCCTGTGGTAATTGTGGGCCTTGGGGGATCCGTAGAGCGGCCCTGAGGTAATTTTGGGTCTGGTGTTTCCCCACGGATCCCTCTGAGGTAATTGTTGGCTTCAAGGGGGACTGTGGGGGCTGCCTTGAGGTAATTGTGGGTCCGGGGGCATCCGTGAGGCAACCTTGAGGTAATTTTGTGCCTGGCGGGATCCGTGGGGCAGCCCCGAAGTAATTTTGGGCCTGGGGACAGCGTGGGGCAGCCCTGAGGTAACCGTGCCTCTGCTTCTGCTTCCTGGAGGGACTGTGGGAACGTACCTGAGGTAAAATAAGGACACCAGTAACCACGGGGGTAACTCTGAGGTAAGTTTGCCTTCCCGAGCCCCCAGGTAACCCCCATTAACCCTGGGGGAGGACAATGGCCATGCCATAAACGTGGGGCAGGCTGGGCTCTGAGGTGCCATGAGGATTCACCCCCTGCCCTGTGCCCCCCAACCTTGGGGTGGCCCCCAATTCCCCAGGGTTAACCCTGGGTAAGAATAAACCAGGCAGGGCTTTCTGTAGAAGCCAGGGCCATGCAGCAGTCAGGTCTCAGGATATTTAACGCATACATTTCCAAGCTTGAAGGGCGGCTGGAACAAAGGAAATGCTTGTTTATGCCTTTTGTTTCTGCCACGGCTTTGCCAGCGAGACCCAGACGTCGGATGGCTGCAGTGAAAAGACCCTGCTACAAAAGCTTGATTTTAGGGTGAAGGTGGCAGCACTTAACTCGATGTTTATGAAGCCACAGACCAATTCTGCTTCTGCAGCTTCCTCCCAGCTGGCATCCGCTGCTTCAGCAGAGCGTAGTTCAAACCCTGGCGGGTTTCATCTCCGAATAGCCGAAAGAAAAACCTTTTCTTTTGAATTATTTGTAGCTGTTTGTGTCCTGTACTGCATGTTACAGAGCAGCAGTGGTGCTGGCACGCTGGGGCTTGTGCCACCAGTCTGCTCCCGCTGAGGAGAAGCAGATGGTTTGAATTCTGGTGGAAAAGCTGCATGAGTTTCATTAATTTGATTTACCTTTTTCCCTGAGTTCAGACCCTGTCTGTATTTCTGTGGCACTTCACAAAAAGCGGAAGACTCAGCACAGCATTTTTGGCCCCATTACTGCTTTGAGCAAAAGCTTATGGGACAGCTCAAGAGCAGCCCTCGTTTTGTCAGGCCCCTACTTGTAGACCTGGAGTGTGAGGAAGAGGAGGAAGCAAGGCTGTTTTTGCACCTCTCTGGGCTGGCTATGCCGGCTTTTCCCTTCCAAAAATGAGCAGCATGGTGTGTTTGGAGAGGAGTGCTGGAGAAACACAGGCACTGCTGTTCCTGAAACCCCGAGTTCAGTAATACAAGATACCATGGAATTAACGGGGTGGGTTTTTTCTCTGGCTGGACATTCAAGGATGGCTTCCCGATGGACAGGGAAGCCTCTTGAAAATCACCAGGGTGTGTTTTAGCTTGGAATGTCCCCGCTTAGGCCAGTGCTGTTAACACCTCCTGGGTTTTCTCTCTCTCCACAGGCTCCCTCCATTTCCCGTCTCTCCAGGATGAGAGAGGTTTGGGTCCGGCTTTTCCCCTCTCCCTGTAGTTGATAGTTTTGGAACCAGAGGTGATGCTGGAGTCAAGATGGCAGACAGCGTGAAAACCTTCCTTCATGACCTCGTCAGGGTGAGGCTCCGCGTTTCGGGTCCTCCGTCGTAGGCGTTGGTCTCGTTTGCTTCGCTGACCGCGGCTCTTGCGCAGGGAGCACCTCCCCGCCCGCATCATCAAGGGTGGATTAAAAAATCGGAAGGAAAAGAGGCTCTGGGTGTATTTTAATTGAAAACACCGATGTTGTAAAGCTGTAGGCAAGCTTTGTGCTCGCTGTTGTGTCACGGTGATGGGGCTTTGTGGAAATGTGGGTCATCCAGGTGTAAATTCAGGGTAAAAACCATTTGTGACCTGATGCTAAGAAAGAACTCCTGTTCAGAAATGAATTGTTTTGAAGAGCTTGCTGGGCTTGATCTTAAAGATCTGTGGGGCTTGATCTTAGAGATAGATCTGTGGGGCTTGATCTTAGAGATAGATCTGGGGGGCTTGATCTTAGAGATAGATCTGGGGGGCTTGATCTTAAAGAAGGATCTGGGGGGCTTGATCTTAAAGAAAGATCTGGGGGCCTTGCTCTTAAAGAAAGATCTGTGGGGCTTGATCTTGAAAGATCTGGGGAGCTTGCTCTTAGAGATCTGTGGGGCTTGCTCTTAAAGATCTGGGGGACTTGATCTTAGAGATCTGTGGGGCTTGCTCTTAAAGAAAGACCTGGGGGGCTTGATCTTAAAGAAAGATCTGGGGGGCTTGATCTTAAAGAAAGATCTGGGGGCCTTGCTCTTAAGGAAAGATCTGTGGGGCTTGCTCTTAAAGAAAGATCTGTGGGGCTTGCTCTTAAAGAAAGATCTGTGGGGCTTGATCTTGAAAGATCTGGGGGGCTTGCTCTTAGAGATCTGTGGGGCTTGCTCTTAGAGATCTGGGGGGCTTGCTCTTAAGGAAAGATCTGTGGGGCTTGCTCTTAAAGAAAGACCTGGGGGGCTTGCTCGTAAAGATCCATGGGGCACCGGGCACAATGTAAACCAGCGTAATTCATTTCCTCCCCATCAGGTAGTGGCGGCAGCACGCTCTGTCCTTTCAGACACAAGTTTAAGGTCAAAATTTACCATTTTTGGTCAAAAACTCATCACGTGGGTCCCTGGGGTAGTGACGCCGTCCTGGCTCTTGCTGGAGGCCTTGTGGTCTTTGTTTTGAAGTGAAATTTTGGTGGTGATGGACGCTGTGGTGTCCTGGGAGGTGGCACCAGGAAGTGTTTACATTTAAATCTTTACATTTAAATCTTTAAGGTGAAGGCTTCTGGACACTTTTGTGTTGTGGCTGATGCAAGGGCCTCTCTGGCATGAGGATGGGTGTTTTTGTTTGTAAAGGAGGATCCATCCCGGTCAGGCCACAGGGACATCCGAAATATTTTGAAGAATTCTGCTTTCTTGGCCTTAGAAATGCTGGCAGGGGAAGGAGGGCTCTCTGCCAGACAGGATCTGACTCTTTGGCTTTAGCCAGGGTTATAAATAGTGCAAATGGGATGAGAAATCACACCTTTTTTTGAAAAAACTACCAGTGCTCTTAAAGATGCTGGCACATGCAGAGATTTAGGTCACTGGGGCATGGAAAACAGAGGGCATTGACGCTGCAGAGCTTGGCTGCAGCCAGGGAGCAAGGCCACAGCCGTGGTTTAGGTCTCTTTCCTTACCTCTTTCCTTCTCTGGCCTGGCTCAGCCACGTCCCGTCCTTCCTCGGGTTTGTGACGGCCTCTCGCGGTGTCCGCAGGGAATCAAGGACTCCATCTGGGGCATCTGCACCATCTCCAAGCTGGACGCCCGCATCCAGCAGAAAAGGGAAGAGCAGAGGCGGAGGAGAGCGAACAGCGCGCTGGCCCAGCGGAGGTTTCACATGGAAGAGAAGAAGCAAGAGAAGTGAGTGTGGGGCCTGGGGAGCCCTAAATCGAACGAGAAAGGTGTTAGTGTTGCTCAAGCTTGCCAAAATCTGTGTAAAAAATACTTGTTGGGACTGTCAGACCTGGGATCTGGGTGTCAGCGGCAGCAGAACTCGTGGTGTAGGGTTCAAAATGGTTTGTAAACCAAATGGCACTGAATAAAGGTGAAAAATGTGACATGAAACACCCTTTTCCCCCTCCAAATAATGAAATTGGAGCTGTTATTGGGAGATAAGAAGTCAGACCTTTTATGTTGCTTGACAATTAAAAGTATGTGGTTAGTTTGTATTAATAACAGAAGGTGAGGAGCCAAAACTACCCCAAGCTGAAACAGCTGCTCCTGAGAACAAAAAAGCACCCGAAAAGCCCTCAGTTTATCCTGGTGATTGTTCGTGGAGAGCAAAGCCTGAGATCTCCAATAAATGCTTAAAAATCTGGAGATGCAGGGAAATAATCAAGGTTGAAGGAGTCTCCCTGGTGTAAATCTTGTTGAGAGATTTTTTCCCCAGGCTTCCTGTGCCTGTATAAAATCGTGCGCGTCGCTGGCATTGAGCAGGGACGTTTCATAGGTGCCCAAAACACGAGACAGTGGCTTTTGTCACTCATCAGGGAGCATTTATGTGGGTGCAGGGACCTTAAAACGTCTCCCCCGTGTCCCCGCAGCGAACCCCGGATAGTCAGCCGGATATTTCAGTGTTGTGCCTGGAACGGAGGCGTATTCTGGGTAAGTGAACCAATTTTTCAATATTTTTGATATTAAAACCCCTGCTGCAGCCTTTGAGGCTCCAAAAATGACCACCCCATCCCTTTGCTGTTTTATTTCCCCCGCAGCTCAGTCTCTTCTTGTTTTACCGCGTATTTATACCCGTCCTTCAGTCCGTCACGGCACAGATCATCGGTAAGCGCCTCTCAGGCCACGGGGCTGTTTTTCCTCTCCCTCCTTTTGCTAATTAAGGCTGCTGTTAATTAGTGGAAAATCAGAGGGGGCTAACCCTGCTGTGTGTCTCCCCCTCTCGCCAAGGTGACCCTTCCCTTCATGGCGATGTCTGGTCCTGGCTGGAGTTCATCCTCACCTCCATTTTCAGCGCCCTCTGGGTCCTTCCCCTCTTCGTGCTCAGCAAGGTCGTCAACGCCATCTGGTTTCAGGTGAGTGATGGGAACCTCCAATTAATGGGGGGCCAGGAATTTCCTCATTAATCACAGAACCACAGGATGTCAGGAGTTGGAAGG